AGTTTTTGCAATTTGGAGTGTGATTTTAAGGTTATTACGGGTATTCGTTTTGTTTGGTTTTGATCTTTGCGGTTTTAGAGTATCTGTCTTTTATAGTTATAGTTTTTAATTTGAATTTTAATTGTGTTGTCTATTTATATTTGATTGTTGCTTTTTGATTAGCGCTTTGTTCTTTTTATGTTAAAATAAGCTTCATAACTATTAAGTACCCGCTTATGGTTGATATCTACCTAATCATCATCGGGTTCTTGCAACAATGGGAAAAAGTGTATGGTTTTGTGGTGTAAAAGTCAGACGCCTTCATTTTTCAGGTAAATATGACTAGTTATTTTTTACATAAAATGATAGCAATACGTCCTCGTTCGGAGTGCGACTGTTGGGTTTTAGCTATCTGAGCCAAATTGTCGGCTAAGTGTCCTCTTTTGGGGCACCCAGAACCGAAAACTATATAGTTTATGGGCGATTCTCGTGTAACTGCGATTTTTACAACTTAAATTTTTCTAAAATTAAAAATGTTTTAGAACGTATGTTTTACGCATTTTAGTTTTCTATTTATGCACAGAAATAAGTCTGTAAAGTGGTTCTACTACAGCTACAACACAACAAAAACTGTGACAAAATTTCAAAATTTTAATGCCACGGTACTGACATTATTTCCACGGTACTAACATAAAAATAATATTTTTTTTTAACCGACTTCAAAGAGGAGGAGGTTATCAATTCGTCGCGATATTTTTTTTTATGTATGTTCAGCGATTATTCTTTAACACGGTGTCCGATTTCAATTATTCTTTTTTTGTTAGTAAGGGGGTACCTCAGGGGTGGTCCCATTAAATTTGGTTAAGATGTGGTGATGGCATCTGCACGTTTTTGAAGTCGGTTTTTTTAAATTTTTAATTTCTAATACTTGTTACCAATCGAAAGATTGGTATAAAATTGCAATAAAATTCAATGCAATATGCATTAGATTGTAGGTACATTTTATATTAAAAATTAATTTTGATAGAAATTTATATCGTGAGTAAATGAATATGTGAGAGCTTAAGGACCTAGTTTAATTACTTTCCCTCTACTTTATAACTCACACCGACATGACGACTTTCTTCAACTTTAATAACAGATGATTGATTTTTTACAAGTGAGGAAAACCCGGAAAACCTCACTCACTATAATAGGATATACCCAAATCAAATAGCTCTTGCTTACAGATTATTTAATAGCAATTTAATTAGAATTTTAGCTCTATTAAGTTGAATGGTTTTGCAGGATTGGATCAAATTTATTGGTATCATTTCTTTACCAACCTTTACCAGTCAACACTTATTGTTTTTCTGAAGTCAGATAGACTAAGACCAATAATCAGTAGCTCTTTAGCCCTTATATTATTTATATGTAGTGTAGTTATATGTTTGTATATTGTGTTTTCGGACATAATTATTTATTTTGTTAAATTGTCAATAATGCATTTATCTAAGTGCTATTATTATTAATAATGAATAGTTGCTGACATTTGTTTTTAATGTTATCACTTTATAAATAATAAAATTGAATGACATGTACTGTTTATGCAGTAAATAATTGCCTTATAAAACACATAGTCTCCTTGAATATAATTATGTAAACTAGAAGCGCGCGCAGAGAATGTTTCATCTGTACAGTGTTGCCAACTATTTTTTTTATGAAAGATCGTACAAAAAATGGTACATGTATAGCATAATATAACTTAAACGGAACAAAAAAATTAATTTATCTGTTTTTACAACGAAAAAAAAAAAAAAAAAAACTAAAGAAACTACATGAAACTTTCAATTAACACATTTAAACTAACCAATCGGTCACTTGAAAGTGATTGAAATTTTAAATACAAGCTTTTGTTGTGCCGCGATAGCCGGTGTTGGTACAAAATCACAATAAGCAGAACGAAAATGAATATGTTGGGAAATTACGAACGGCATTTGAATCATTGCAAGTAGTTTTTGATTTTTATTGTTTTATGTTTTGAATTAATTTAGTTGTTGCACACAATGCGATCGTACATCTTACAGAGAGTTAAAAAATCTTTTAAATACGATTTAAATCGTACGGTTGGCAACACTGCATCTGTATCCGCGCGGCTACTACTCGAAAACTATAGCTCTGAGATCAAATGTTTGCATAAAGTTTGGAGATGGAACCAGATAATTTAGTTAGCATTAATTTTGTACACTTTGATTTTTACCGTAAGATCAACAGAAAGTGAGTTATTTCATAAAACCGATTTCCGTACATCATTTGCCAATTGAAAGAAACTTTTTTTATGAAAAAAATATATAATATACTTCTTTGTAGAGGGTATTCAACTGATCTAATGTAGCATCTTTATATATGAAAAAATTATGTACAAATTATTATTAAAAATTATGTATTTACCAATTAATTGGCTACCAACTATCGTTTAAAAACAAAAACCTACCCTTCGCTGAGCTCTTACGTAATCAGCTCGAGATGCCTAGAAAAAGCGAATGAGCTAGGCGAGGAAAATACAGTTACCCTCATTTGGGTCCCGGAACCCTCGAGCGAAGCCCGTAACATAACGGGATAAAAGGTAACGAGATTGCAAATAGTCTCGCAAGGAAAGGGGCTCAAACATCCTTTGTGGGACCTGAGCCGTTCTGCTGTATAATAATACTCTCCCTAATTCACCCCCCTTACGAGTGAATTTTAACCCCAAAAGCTGAGCTTGTCCGAGGAAAGGGACGGGCTATTATTATTATTATTTGCCGTGGCGCTCCAGGGCGATTTAAAGATGATTGATGGTGCCATTTGAATTACAGGTGAGGAAAACCCCACCCACCATCATCAGCAGTAAAACAATATTAGGACGGATTTAAAACGAATTGAATAGTAGAAGTACCGATAATTGGAACAATCTCTTGGGGCTAAGACAGACTAAGATATTTCTGGGTGAATATAATCAGAAAAGATCTGTCTAAGCAAGAACAGGCTACGCCGGGCATTTCCGACTTAAAGGACACAGTAAACTGTGAGTAGTAGAAGATAGTGAGTGTACATCCTGTGAGAAGGACGACGAAACCTCCATTCACATTCTGACCGAATGTGTGGCACTCCAGAATCCAAAGGTATTATACCAGCAGCATATCAAATAGAAGAGGGAGATTACCTAACTTAAAGCCACTCCAAATTCTACACTTCCTTGGGAAGATAGAATTGGAAGGATCGATTTCCTTGCTGCATTAGCGACAGAAGAGGGCACAATAGATATTTTAGGTCGCAGTGTACTAACATCCCATTTCAAATGTAACATACCCTTCTATTACAACACCCAATCCTAATCTAAACTGGAAGTTGGACCTCTCACTTTCCTTATCTCCCTTTTGGGAGACTGGAAGAACCTTCATTGGTAAGTAGGTACACAACAACTTTCAACCATTTTCGATGACACAGATGATATAAAAACCGCATAATTCATAATTCCTTTGTCCCTATTTGAGACTAACTTAGACTCGCTTATCGACGATAGAAAATTTATTCTTTATATTTTCTATCGATAAATCAATTCTTACTTTACTTCAATTTAAATTTTAATTATTAACCACCCAATGATAATTAAATACCATTTAATAATTCTCAAGAGATAATTTAACTGGATGAGAACCTTCTATTGATACCTGCTACAAGGTTACAATGTTTTTATAATTTGAAGTTTCTTTTCTTATGTCCTGTAATTTGGAATCAACTTTTAATTTATTTTAAGTTGTGATAATAATTGAAGATCTTCGTCCAAGAAACCTTAATTCATATTCTCTTTTTGCAGTTCGAATATTACCGTCACAAAAACCATAATATACAGTGTATTCATCGTTAGTAAATTAATACTTTTATTATCAACACTGAACAAGTATTAAAAGTAATTTAAAAAAACCGACTTTAAAATCGTGCAGATGCCGTCACCACATCTTAATCAAATTTATATGGGACCACCCCTGAGTACCCCTTTTCTAACAAAAAAAGAATCATTGAAATCGGACACTGTATTAAAGAATTATTGCTGAACATACATAAAAAATATATATTAAGACGAATTGAGAACCTCCTCCTTTTTTGAAGTCGGTTAAAAATATTCAAGGATAAATACAAGTACTTACTGACAGAAGATGCAAATTTGTCAGCAAATGATACAACAATGAGATGTCAATTCCAAGGTTTATGAATACATAAACCGTTTTAAAGCAATTAACCGGTAATTTTCAGTATTTACCGTAAAATTAAAAAGCACATAATTGGAATCAGGTTCTTATTTCTTCTTCAAATATAAAATATACCATTCAAATTTAGACAATACAGAGTGTTGTTAAGGTTGGATAATTTTTTTTTTGTAAAAACTTGTTTATACCTTAGTAAATTCATTAAGCCAGTATTTATAAAACTTTTTTGGCAACGGAACCTTTTTGAAAAGCGAAATATTTGACGGCGTTTGGTCCATTAAATAGAGCGTAAAAAATTTAGCATTTGTACTAAATTTCACTTAGTTAACTTTAAAAGTTTAGAAAATATTTACAAAAATGTGTCATCAGGACTTCACTTTTAACACCCTATATTTGTAGATTACACTGTTAAAACATGACCGTCTAATTTCGGGACACCCTGTATATACAAGGTTATTCGTAACTTATGAGTCAAGAAAGAAATCAGCAAAATTGATAAAACACCCTGTATTTTGATTATAAAGGGCGAAATATTCAATAAGTGGGTATGGGTTATTTGAAAGTACCACAGTTCTTTTTCTAATGAAACATCCTAAATACCTACAACTTGACTAATGCAACAAGAATAATATTTATAATGAAATAAATGTTGACATAACTATATAGGTACACCAGATTTCTGAGTGGTGCGAAAATACTCCTGGACAATATGGCCTTCATAAAAATAGATTACTATCTTACCGGGTTTTCGTATTTTCATAACATTAAGATTAAAGAAAAAATTATTTTACTCACCACACATTATTTGTATAAATCCAAAAGTCCCAAAAAAATAGTTTGCACAGTCTTATCACAATAATTTGACAACAAAAAAAACTGTTAATTATTTTAAGTACCTTCGTAATTCTTCCACTTCGCCGCGAAAAACGGAAAAACTAGAAAAGTCTTTTAGCACAGACACGATAAGTGGTGGTCGCGAAACGGACATCACAGATTACACAGCCAACGATGAACGATTTGTGATCAAATTGTTCGTACGCTTATGAGTAAATAAGATTTAAATAAAGCCCCCAGCCTCTTGGCATCGTCCCTATCCGTGTAGAAGCGCCTCTCTCATGCGGACAGTCTCGGGTTTGAACAGTTTTTTGATAAGGACTCGAAGTCAGTGCAACTGACCGCCTGATCAAATTCTCTTCAACATTTTAAATAACCGTAATTCGACTTTCGACTACATATTTTGTTTTATTCTACATAAACTGGTCAAACTAAGAAAAATTATCAGTAAACTTGGGCAAAATTGTTTCAGAAGCGATTAAAGTGGTATTCAACTTAATCAAAATTCAAAATGGCGGCCCATTTTCTTAGTGTAATAATATTATGGAGTAGTTGCAAAACTCAGTTTAAATTGTGAACCTCAATGTAATAATCATCGGTTATTGTTTTAAAAATAGTTTTAAAAAGTACATTTGTAGTTTGAATATAATCAGTTAAAAATTAAACTCTTGTTAGCTAAATTGAGTTTACAGAGCAAGAGTAATAAATCACAGCCTCAACTATCTTAGCAAAAAGGTTCGTTCGTATAGTTATCTTCAATTTGTTGTAAAAAATTTTTACAAATTTTGATAAATCATTTTTTTTAAATTTTGATCCTATTTATCAGAATAGCACACCTATGGGCATCATGCCCTACCTTAATATCCACATGTGGATAATAATTTTTGAAATTTGTTTTCTAAAAATAATGTACAAATAAAATAAAGTGTATTTGTAAGAACTCCCCAAAAAAAATAATTATCAATATGTATAGCAGAAGAGATTCTGACAGCCTCGTGCTACGGAGATGATAGTGTACTTGGGAATGACCAGTCAAAATTCCTGTGATTAGGCGCATATTCTGCTGTGGTGTTGTAGGGGTAACTTAGAAACTTTCTAGCAACTCTACAGCCTCTTGTTTCACCTCAACTTTCCTTGAATTTTACAAAGGATTGTTATTTAATTAGGTTTTGTCACGACCGATGATGGCAGTTCGATGGAATGGCCAGGTCCGAAGAGTATTTGGTTGGCTGCCTTCTTGGTTAGATGGTTACCATTTGTTGTGAAGTAACCTTTGAACTATCTGAAGGTGACGACATTGTTGATGAATACTTCGACCAAAGCATTGTGACGTCCTAGTACTAATCCTAAATAAATGCGTTGCCTTTCCAGGGAGAATAGTCCTTGTCTGTTATCTGTACAGATGTTCCTTCCAGTAATATTGTTTCTGGTAATTTCTTTTGAAGCTAGGATAATCCTAGTGTGCTGGGTTTAAACTACACTGGCACTATTGCTCATAATCCATTTTATGTTTAGGTTAAAAGATCTGGAGTATATTCCACATCTTGAGCCTTGTTTTGTTTTAGAACCGTCGCGTCGGTGCAGATGTGAATTGTACCTGTCACTTTCAACTTTTCTATTTGTTACGTTATTACTTTATATGACATATCTCAGTGAGATGGAGTCGATGTTTGCTTATAGCAGAAGAAGCGTATCGAGTGTCTGACATCAAAAGCGACGTCTTGCCTCATTAGATCCTACACGTCAGGTTCTATTATGCTTGTATAACATTCTAACAAACAACGTTCTAACTTAGATAATATATGTACATATAGGCTACCACTGCACAAATCTATACAATGTTGATGTCGCTCTAATAAAATCATTGTTTCTTTTTCTAATGCATGCTTTTTCGCTCATATTAGAATCTTCAGAAGTAGCGTATGTAAACCGATTACGTTGCGTTATTTTAAGTGTGAAAATAGTGACTGCAAATAGATGAAAAAATACAAAATAATAGAGAGTTATTGCAAGTTCACTTAAGGTCAGTCACTATTAGTGCCGCTCTTATTTTGACATCTGAGCATGCGCAGATCACTAACTTTAATAAAGATTGTGCCTGTCCTTAATAGAGAGATATTGCAAATTTCTATAAAGCCAGCCACTAATAGTGACATCGTAATTAGAGTCAAATAAATTCTATAATAGTACCTAATATTAAAGGCAATTAAGGACAGGCACAATCCTTAATAAAGTCAGTTTTAGAACATAAACATCTGCGCATACTTAGATGTCAAAATAAGAGCGGCACTAATAGTGACTGACCCTAAGTGAACTTGCAATAACTCTCTTATTATGGACAGGCACAATCTTTAATAAAGTTAGTGATCTACGCATGCTCAGATGTCAAAATAAGAGCGGCACTAATAGTGACTGACCTTAAGTGAACTTGCAATAACTCTCTAATGTTTTAAAAGATAGGTACATTTTTATTGAACTAACAACAAAATATGATATTATTGTCATGTCAAAAAATATAATAATAATGCAAAAAATATTTTATTGCTTCTAAAACATTTAGGTTTATAGCAAGGATTTGGATTTCTATAAAATATCTATGCCTATTGAAAACCTATACAATAGTAGAACTGAAGAAATACATAAAGCATTTAATTTAAACATGAAAAAATATACCTAATAAGAATAAAACAAACCAATATATATTTACCTATTTAGCAAAGTAGAAGTATTTCAGGATATTAAAAAATATATAAGAATTTTATTTAGGAGAGACTCGGGGAATTCCGACCACAAGGGTAATTCCGACCACCTAATTTATACTTTAAATTTCCCGCCTCTGGCTAGTATGACCAGCGCCACCTCCGTCAGAATAATAAAGGTCCTAGATACACGCGTTAGTCCCGGCAAATCGTTAGCAGGTGTGAGTTTATCTGTGAGTTTGTGTTTAACGACAACATCATTTAATGCAATTTTCGCAAATAAAATGTAAGTATGATAAAATTACTTTAGTTAGAAAAATGGCGATTGATATGGGATAAGAAATTATATGTTACCATTGATTTTTTTTTAAAGTTTGAACCTAACCTTTATTTTAACAAAACAGTGATCTAGTTTTTTAAATCATCTGTTTTATGTTAATGCCGACCAGTGCGGTCGGTATTAACCTAAAGTGGTCGGTATTACCCAAAATCGACTGCTTTTAGTTCCTATGTTTTTATACAGCCACTTGCTAAAAACAGGACATTTTTGCCTTTCAAATATGTAAGGAAGACTGCAAAAGCGTCGTGGAAAAATGAAGATATGTTACGTGCTCTAACGGCCGTTAGGAGTGGAGTAAGCATTACAGAAGCTGCTAGAAAATATGGTATACTGTACGGTACCATTCAGGATAGATTAAAAGGCAAGGACCCTGTAGAAAAATGTAATATGGGAAGGAAACCTGTTTCTACCTCAGAACAGGAGAAAGAATTGTGTGAACAGATCATTGATTTTTCAAAACGGTTTTACCAAGCACGAAAAATTTCATATGAATTTGCTGAAAAAAATCAAATTCCCCATAATTCAGAGGCAAAAATGTACGGTTTTCTACGGCGAAACCCAAAAATTTCTTTAAGAAAACCTGTAGCAACTTTACTGAATCGAGTTTTAGCATTTAATGCAAATGAAGTAAAACTATTTTTTGACAGTCATCGGTAAGTATAATTTTAGTCCAAACAGGATTTACAATGCTTCTGGCGATTATATGCCTCCAATGTTTATTTTTGGCAGGGGTAAAACGCAGCACGAATTAACAAAAAACGGACCCATTAACGCAATACACAAAGTTTTTAAAAACGGCTGGGTAAATGAAGACCTTTTTTTTTAATGGTTACGACATTTTGTTGCATATTCAAAATGTTCAGTTTATGATCCGGTGTTACTAATTATGGACAACCATTCATGCTATGGTACACTGAAAGTATTTGATTACTGTAAACAAAATGGAATTGTCGTTCTTACGTTACCACCCCACACATCCTACCGCTTGCAGCCACATATGTTTCTACGGTCTAATAATTATCAAAGAATTCAACAAATTGATATCGCTGAACTATTTAAAAGGCTTATAATAGAACTGCTACAATAAAGAAAGCTGCAAACAGATTTGAGTCAATGTCATCAGTCCAGCGGAACTGGCTCCACACGAGGAGAAGCAGCAAGGAGGTAAAGTTGAAGGTGAAACAATTCGGAACATAAAAACGCAAAGAAAAATAGGAAAACTGTAGCAATGGAGATTAACTATAGCAATCCAAGACCTGGAACTTTGGGCGACCATAAAACTTAAATTGTGAGATCAAAAAAGACCGCTGTATCGGCTAATAATTCACCAGAATCTTTAGAAAATTGTTAGTCTGATCTTGAACTGGTCACAGATTGCGATGCCACAGATGATGAAGATAAAACTAAGACCAACAGTTTCGTTTGGTGAGTTGTTGTCAATCCCAAATACCAAATCATTGCGTGTCAAAAAAACTTCAAAGAAACAACACTAACAAATCTTCACCGTCACCTCAAATAGAGGAGATCTGGAAACAAAGGAAAAAATAAACCTGAAAATTAAGTCTTGCTGAAAACAAACAAGTGAAAAGAAATCTGACAAGAGCAAATGCCGAAAATAAAATGAAAGATAAGGAAAACAATAAATCGAAGAAAATAATGAAACAACAAGAAGTTGCCACGGAACCGTGCAACATCTGTGAAGAATTTGGGAAAGATAGCGAGTGGTGCGTTACTTTTAGCAGCTGTGCCAAATCTTTACATGCTTGTGATTTTTGTTGATATAATGTTTTTTCTCTAATAACGTTTATTTTTTTGTTGTGTTATCATATGGTCGGTATTAACCTAACTTTACGAGAAATTCCGACCGAAACATGTTTTTCAGTTTTTTTAATTAAAGTTAATTTTCCTTTATTTTACGTTATTTAAATAAAAAGTAGGTTGAGGAATGTGTTTGTTGACAAGTGCCAGCGAAAGATCACCAAAGTTCGCAAAAATAGTCTCCGAATTCGAAAATGTTTGTTACCTGGTTGAAATTCCCCTAATCTCACCTACTTTTCTAATGACCTCGTTTAAAATATAAATTATCTAGTTTATTTAAATTACGTAACTAAGTATTCTTATATTACTGATGATAGTTTATATTTTAGACAATGTACAAATATACAGTATGCTTCCAAAACCAAACAACATATTTTTTTTCTTTTCAAATCGGCAATTCTGCACTAAGTTTTTGATATTGCACATACTTTTTCACTCATATTAATTGTGTCTGTAATGTTTTATTTCTGTTTCTTTAGTTTGAAGCAGTATTGTTAG